TCAGCCTGAGAAAGCAGGATGGGTCAAGTTGCTTAACATAGTTTTCTCCAATTAGCTTGCAATACATTTGTATAAAGTAAAATGCCCCTGTGCTGTGGACATATAACAAGTCATGCAAATTGTTACCAATTAAATTGACTTTTGGATTTCTATTTCACTTACAACCACAGAAAGCCAAAGTGCTTCTTTCCAAATCCATTCAACACAGGCGTACCTGCAGGTCTTTGTTCAGGATGCGTCCCATAGCAGGAAAGAAACCATCATCTCTCTGATGCCGGATGAGCCAGGATTTAGCTGCCCGAAGCTCTTTGGGATCAATGAAGATAAAAGCACGAGACTGAGCAAAGGACTTCAGCACAAACGCTGTCAACCTAAATGGAAGACAGATGGAAATGGAGGTGAGGATGACAAAAACTGGAAGGGGAAATCCTCAAAGACCTAACTAACATGCTCTAGCAACACCTGAAAACAGGTATTCTGCCACACTTCATCAGATTTTTTAACACATCTAATTTGGGACTTTGTGAAATTATTCAACACGTCACACACTAACAGTATGTAATCAGAGGACTGGTATGTATGGATGGTTTGATGAAATAAAGAAAGGAATGAGGAGGGGAGCAAATGGGTGCGGCACAGTTTGATCAGTACAACAAGATGCGGCAGCTGTGCTCTTGAGAATGTGAAAGAGCACATGGGCTGATCAAGTATGTTTCTGGTTGTGAGTCAAAGATTCCCCTGAAGCATTCCTCAACTTATGCAAGCACGAATCCCAGGACTTGAAGGTTTGAGAATCTGGCTGGCCTCGGAGAGCAACTGAAAGTTTATGAGCCAGGGTGGAGAAGAATCAGGGGAGCAATGGAGAAAGGCGTGGGTCAGCCCTGGGTACACGGCTGAGCTAATAAACAGACACTCTTCCATAAACAACAGACCTCCCAGTAGTGGCTGAAAGCTGTTGTCTTTGGCCAATAGCTGCTCAGTGATGGCACCCCTGAGCACAAGTGATTTATTGCATAAGGTAAGTTGTTTACCAAGAACGAGAAAGAAAAATGAGATGGAAATGAAATACAAAAAAAAGGTCACTAACGAGAGCTGATGAGTTTATGGTGTGTTTTCCTATTTTATTTTAGCTTTACTCATTTTTTTTAATAATTCTTCTAATTCGTTATTTTTATTGATGTCATAGTTTTGTCTGACTGAAGTGAATTGTAAAGCCCATTGGTCAACTTCTGCTGTGTTTATGATATTGAGTGGGATGTGAGTACGGGGGATTGCTCTACATAAAGGTATATTTCCACAACAGAGATATAAAAGAAGATTATTTTAAAACCACTTTCTATTACCTGTAAGAGAACAAGTGTCACACCTGATTATCAGGTAGAAAATGCCTTGGTAGGACGTTTATACTTTTGCAATGGGCCCTGAATCTTTTTTAATGGCTTGTGATGCAAAGCAGATTTTGTTTGTACTCACAGCACTTAACTTTTTTGTATTTCATTCTGCAGGGAATAAAGTAGTAAACAGACAATAGTCAGTCAACATAAACAATGTAACACAAGTAGTACACATTTTGTGGCTGACACACAGAATCATTAAGGAGTGGACCATGTCTGTAGCTATCATCTTTGCTCGTGTATATAAAATGGCAAAAATGAATTGTGAGTTTTTCACAAAAACAATTGTGTGAATAGGTTTCATATTGAATTCAATAGAATTCAAAATCTTACTTCTAACCTACAAAGCTCTCAACAACCTAGCTCCATCTTATATTACAGATCTTATTGTTCCAGATTTTCCTAACAGAGCACTTTGCTCTCAGATTGCAGGCTTACTCGTGGTTCCTAGAGTTTCCAAAAGCAGAATGGGAGGAAGATCTTTCAGTTATCAGGCTCCTCTCTTGTGGAACCAACTTCCAGTTTCTTCCAGTTTCTTTCCATAAGGCTGACACATTGTCCAGTTTTAAGACTGGACTTAATCCTTTGTAATAAATCCTATAGTTAGGGTTGGCTTGTTATGCTGCCATAGGCTTAGACTACTGGAGGACAAATTGACCTCGTTTCTTAAAATAAATTGTTACAATTGAATAGTTTTCATTTGATATTATTTCTATCCTAACATGTGATTCTCGACCTGCCATTGTGTATCTGTTCCTCCTTCCTGTTCCTCTCAAACCCAGCCGGTCGAAGCAGATGGCCGCTTGTCCTGAGCCTGGTTCTGTTAAAGGTTTCTTCCTCATGAGGGAGTTTTCCCTTTCACCTTCATGCTTGCTCAAGATGAGAGTCTGCAATGAAGTTAGACTCAAAGCAGTCTGCTCCTCAGATAAATAATGTTATTAACTTACTTTTCATGTCTATGAATATTTCTGTACAGTGCCCTTAGATGACTTCTGTTGTGACTTGGTGCTATATAAGCATCTTTTATGATTCTCTATTGTTGTCATTGTTGACCACTGTTGTCGTCACTCCTTGTTAAAATTCAGGTCTCTCTTATAAATGAGTCCCCGAGGATCAATGGGATTAACCTGTATAAATAAAGGTTGAATGAATATAAACAAACTGAACTGAATTGCTCCAAAAGTATTACAAGTATGATAATCTCAAGATACTGCTGTGAATTTAGCTTTTAGGACATTCCATGTAGAGTTAACAGCCTTGTTATTAAATTAAATTAAATTCAGTTTATTTATATAACACCAAGTCCCAACAGAAGTTGTCTCAGAGCACTGAACAGAAACGTTCACAAACAGGTTCAGGTGAACTTTCAAAAGATGAACAAATATTGTACACTAACCAAATACTTCCAGCTATTGTCATACATTTGGAATGACTAAATCCATTCAAATTAAAGTTCAATATGTTTTAAATGTTAGGAAACACAACACAGCATTACATCTGTTTTTAGGGTGGCAATTAAAGCACTGCTCTACAAACAAACTGAAAGCAAAACAACATTTTTCAGTCAGGTCATCTGGACAGTTTATATTTTTGTGTGTTGAAACATTTCGCCTTCGATCCGGAAGGATTCATCAGTCAAGGAAACACACAACGCAAAACTGATTCTTCCCCCAACAGCTTACTCCAAAGAACAAACCAGTTTTGTAGGTGCTAAGATGGTCTCTTTGGTACGCCCCCTCCTCCATTGCCGGCCCTCTTCCTTGTTGACCTGACTGAAAAATGTTGGATTATATACCTGGATTATTGAGCATGGACTTTGTTCTGAAAGCAAAACTACATTTGGCCTTATTTTGGATGCAAGTGTGTCACTGATTGATTCATAAAGTGTCTAGTGAAGGTTTTGCAAAGGTTCACTCAGTATGTTGTACACAGTTCACTTTTGTTGCCTTGAGCACCAAATAAAACTCCAAAGTGTGGCCTGTTCCATCCTCATATCTCATCATAGTCGTCAAGAAGTGTTCAAATTTATCATGACAGTTTAATGTTACTAATTGGGGAGTGGTGGCGCAGAGGTTAGAGAAGGTGGACCTGTGATCGGAAGATCGCCGGCTCAAGCCCCGGTATCGACAACATCAAAAATGTGGGTGGGGTAGGTGAAGCACCCACAACTGCCCCCAGCCTCATTTGCCCTACTCTGGGCCCATGATCAAGGTCTTTAACACCCCCCCCCCCCCCCCCATCTGCTCCCTAAAACAGGTCTCTCTTGAAAATGAGTTCTCGTGGCTCAATGAGACTGCCTGTATAAATAAAGGGTAAATAAAAATAAAAATAAAAAATACAACAAGATAGTGGGACATTAGGAGGCATGCCGCACTTCCATGTTCTGAGAAATGTCAGAAAAGAGTAAGGACGCATTTGGTGAAGTGGCTCCAGACAAATGTCTCCAAAAGAGTTTGTTTGTGGGGTCAAACTCTGTAGGTGGACGGAGTAGCTGGGATATGAACCTAGAAATACTGCAAATAAATCTTGACATTTTTCTTGCCTCGGGATCCAATCATGCAGTCTGTTTACGATTCTGTGCAGTTTATTTAACCTGCTGTTTCACAGTGTTAGCTCTAGTAAAGATCATAATACCCACCACAGCTCATAAATCAATGCAAGGAATGCAGATTGTGAACGGGCTGTTAAATTACAAGCAGAGGAACTTCCTGCTGTGAGAGTAGATTTCTGTTTTACTATTTTGGACAACATGAAGTCTGCATCCCTAAACACAAAATAAATACTCTGTTGTAAAATGTTTACAGGAATAGATTCATTAAAGCAGAGTGAACTCGCATCTTGATAAATTGTTTTTTGTTCTTTTTTTAGCAGCTTACGCCCCTAGTTAAAGCTGATAAACTGTGTACATCTCAGTCATGGCTGCGGTGACTCACCACATACTGCCGGAGGAATCCCTTTCGCCAAAAGCACTGTAAGATCCATCCTGGCGCTTGTAGGTCAGTTGTCTCTGGTAGCCTGAATGATGAGAACAGAGTGCAGAAACTTAAATCTATCACTTTTACAGATATTGACCTAAAATTTGGCATGGTAGGAGTTGAAAGCAATTCACAATCAATATTCTATGCACAGATTACACAAAATCCTTGTATAAAAATTTGGCAGGTTTTTTTTTTTTTTTTTTCAGACTTAGGCCCTGTTTAGGTGTGAACAATCTCTGGAAATGTTAGCATTTTTTTCCAATGTTGACTGAAAAAAAAAAGTTTACATAGGTAATTGTAAGCTCGCAGAATCAGCTGTAGTTTCCATGCCGCATCACTAGCTGGTGCTGTGGTTTTTGCATTTCAACTACATTCACATGCACGCAGACACCTCAGTCTCAAGCATGACAACAGCTACAGTAGTCCCTCGCTACTTTGCGGTTTGACCTTCACGGACTCACTCTTTTGCGATTTTTCAAAATAAGATTGTACAGGGGAAAAAATTGTACACAACACAACTGTCAACTTTATTACTCGCATGATTGGGACAGTATGGAATACTGTACAGTAAAAAGTTAAGGAAAAAATAAAATACCTCGGACAGGTGCCGCCATTTTGTAATTTTCTCTCAATAGGCCTACACTGTATCCCCGCTCATAACGACTACATTTCCCAGAAGCCAACAGTGCCCCACACAGAAACCCTGTTGCCCTCTGCTGAAAGACGTAGAGGGAGAGTTTTGATCTGATCAGAAAAAGTTTGGCCCTTATACATACAGTAACTTTGGCGTCCAGCGGATGCCGAGAGCTGCATAGAACCCATCGAGAACCGGACCAGAACAGGAGCAGAACCAGACCTCCAGACTCATCGGTAAATCCGAGAGCTGCTAGCTGGCCCATGAGGACCTCTGAGTGAGGACACACTGCCGTGGGTCCGGCACTCTCTCCGAAGCACACTGGGACTTTTTTCATCTAGACTTGGACTCAATTGGACCACCACCGGTCCTGCGCCAGCCATCCGAAGGTCCACCTCTCCCCCGCGCTTAAGGGCTGCACAAAACCGGCCCAGAACCGGATCCCAGACTTATCGTTGAACCAAAGCTGCTAGCCAGTCCACAAGGACCCCTGAGCAGGGACGCCCTGCCCGTAGGTCTGGCACTCCCTCCAGAGAACACCGCCACTACCCTGAGCCAGAGAGCTGACCAGAACCAGCAGGGTAGGTCTGCTGAAATGGAACCAAGTTGGACCGGAACCGAGCCGCTGGTGTTCTGCAGAGCTCGAGTAAAATTTAGTAGCTACATATGTTTGTATGTTGTTAAAATGATGTAGTTTTAAGAGTAGAACATTGCAAGAGTGTGGGAAGGGTTTTCTAAAGCCTTTACACACACACACACACACACACACACACACACACACACATA